GCAAGGGCGTCATTCCCCTGGTCAACAGGAGCATGATACACCGCAAACGCCGTCTTCTTCCCATCGCCCACTTCCTTAACACCCCCAGCGTCCACACGTTCCTCACCCTGCTTGCCAGACGACGACGTCCATCCCTGTCCTCTGTCAGCAAACACCTGTGGACTCCGGTCCAACAGGACTTCAAGGTCCTCGTCAGAGATAACCCCAGCTTTGCCCTCAGCGGTATTAGGAACCACGTCGATCTTCTCGCCTTCGAGGCGGAGCAACGACGCGGCCATCTCAGCCATTGTCTCGGGCTTACTGCGCCCAGCCGCTGCAGCGGGCTTCTTGAATTTGCCTGACGATGGGATGATGTGAGATAGGAGAGGCCAGAGCAAGAAGTTGATGGGTATACCTTTTGCGATGACGAGCGCCTCAAGCTGGCGCTTCTCCTTGGCACGCTGCATGATCTTCGTCTCGATCGTATGCGCGCTCACAAGCCTGAAGATCAGGACGGGCTTCGTCTGGCCAATACGATGTGCCCTATCTTGTGCCTGGGCGTCCATTTGGGGATTCTGCCGACAAGGAAACGGTTCAGATACTCGGTCAGAGTCGGTGTATGGTGGGTGTACGTACCCAATCTTGATCATAGAAAATCACGGTATCAGCAGCGACGAGGTTGATACCCAGCCCACCCGCACGAGTACTGAGAAGAAACAGACAGGGTGCATCTGGAGCGTTTCCGCCGGCCTGGAATTTGTTCATCTCTTCCCGACGTTCCATAGGCGAGGATGATCCATCAATGCGACAGATGTTCCATCCCATGCATTCTGTTGCCCAGTCCTGTGGTTCACAACATATGGAGTCAGTGACCTGACTGTACTTGAATGAAATGATAGTCGGCTACCTCGATGATATCGAGCATGGTCGTGAACTGGCTGAAGAGCAGGACCTTGTGCTTCCGCCTGAAAAGCTCGCGAAGGAGGCGATCAAGCACCATCATCTTTCCGCTTGCATTGACAAGGTTGTCATCAAGGACCGGTTGTTGCGTTCGAGGATCCAGCGGCCAATTGAACAGGAACGGATGGGAACACACTTTACGCAGCTGCATAACTGCGTTCTGGAGCTTCATATTGTTCACTTGTTTCACTACAAATCAAAAAATTACAATCAGATCTTGACTTCTCAAAACTTTGGCACGACCTACCCGTCGACTTGTACCGATGCTCCCTGCCCATCTGCTCGAGCTCCTCTTGATCCAGCTGCTTCACTTTCCGCCTAATACCCCGCTCGTCCACCTCTCCACGCTCAACCATATCAAAGTACTCATCATCGTCCCCATCCACGTCGTACCTCTTCTTCGCATGCTTCCCGCCTTCACTTCGCAAGCGCCGTGGTCCCGTCTCCACCGGCTGTTCTTCTTCTACCTTGGCGGTGTCCTTGCCAATCAAATAGGATCGTAGAGTGCCCGCAAGGACCCTGTCGTAAGCCTCGCGCTGCTGGACGCTGAGTGGCGCGTAGAGGACATATTCCTTCTTCGGAGGAAGGTTCACTTCGACGTCGACTTTTAGACGACGCAAAAGGAAGGGTTTGAGGAGAGTGTGGAGAGATGAGATGATCTGGGAAGATCGTTCGGACCCTAGACTTTGTTGCATGGCGGGTATATTGAACCTGTATGAGACCGTTAGCGAATATTTCGAGAGAAAGAGATGCTGATCCTCCGATCCTCACCATTCTTGGAACGACTCTACATCGTTAAAGATATCGGGTAATATAAAATTAAGCAACGACCAAAGTTCCGCGAGGTTATTCTGAATGAGGAACGATGTTAGGTCGCAGATACACCAGGGTAACCGTATGTGAACGTACGTGCAATGGCGTACCGGTCAAAATCATCCGTCCGGCGGACTTGTATTTCTTGATCTCTCTCATAAGCTTGCAGTCTAAATTCTTGAGCCTATGCCCCTCGTCGACGACGATGTAGCCCCAATTATAGCGCTCTAGATGTGCGCGGTCCTTGATGATCATCTCATACGTGGTGATGACGACAGGAAACGACGCCATGGGATCTTCCGGCTCCTCTTCCTCTTCCTCTTCGGCATCGTCCTCACCATGATCTTGATCCAAAACAGTTTCTTCGTCCTCAGTGGACTTTGTGAATCGGCCACTACGCCTGGAGCTGCGCTTGGCGGGGGCTTTCGATTTAACGTTGGGCTTCGCATTGGACGGACGACCCTTGACCTTTGACTTTGCTTTGGCTGGACTGCGGGCAGAAGGTAGCGCCATGACAGTCCGGCGGAGCTCTGCACGCTCAGCTGGCGTGCCGTGGTACATGCAAACGGGTATCTGAAACCAAGTATGAAGCACCTGATGATGACGCATAGGAAAATCTTACACCAGGGGCAAACTTTTGGTATTCGTCTAACCAATTGTGCATTACGCTTAGAGGGCACACGACCAGAAAAGGTGTCGAGTTGTGGTGTTCGCGGAGGTATGCACTAAATGCAATGGTTTGTAGTGTCTATATAATTGTCAGTTTCACAATTCTAAGATATATAATTTGAGGCCTTCACCTTTCCAAGGCCCATCTCATCGGCTGAAGAAGGCTATAATTACTTCGCGTGTTATATTCGGTAATGTTCAACGCACCTAAAATTCCGGAGATTCCATTCTGGTCGAGAGAGACCATCCATTGAAGTCCCTCGAGTTGGTACTTTTTCAACGCAGCCCCTGTGATTAGAGCCGGCTGTTGAAACACTGGACCAGTATCCTCTTCGTTTGGGTGGGGCTGAACTTCGCCGTGCTCGCCCTTCTTGCGTTTTGAGCTAGACTCCTCGTCTGCCGACTCGTCGTCGCTCTCAACACGCGCACGTTTGCGACCCTTGCGACCTCGCGGGGCAGCACCAGGCTTAGATTTGGACGCGCTTGCCTTGCTGGTGGTTTTGGCTGCTGTTTCCATCGCTTTCTTGTGCTGCTCCATCTGAGTCTGCAAGAAGTTGGTATATGCTGCAGATTTCTGCAATACAAATTGGAGTCTCGCGTAACGCTTCTCCATTTCCTGGATACAACCCCCTCAGTTTTCGTATTCTGACAACAACACAGATCGTGTTACTGACCTCATCAAGCTCATCTCCAATTTCTGAGGACATTTCCACGTTCTATAACCCATGTTGGTCAGATATCGTGGCAGATGCTAGTATTGCTCACCGTGTGACCCTCCGATGCGTCGTACTCTGATGCATCTGCAGGAGGCGGCGAAGAAGGCGCGGTGCTCACTGCAGCGGACGACGCGTCAAACGCTGGGGAACGCGGTGAAGGCGGGCTGGAGGACATGGCAGTAGCAATGCTGGAAAAAGAGTGACAGTCCAGACGCGTTGAACTATTTTCAGGCTCCGCTCAATCGCGAATGACGCTACCCTAAATGAGCCACGTGATTGGATTGCGTCGTGACTCGTCACGATCGCGAACGCGGTCTCAGAAGGCGCTTGCCATCGTGACACAGGTTGGAGTAGAGTTTCTATTGCTAATGTTTGAACGGCTAGATATATCTGAGTTTACTCTTTCAAACTGTTGGCTCAGTTCGATGAAACGAGTGAACTTGGACCTACTTGTACTCCTTGATCCGAGTAATTTTGATGGTACAATTTGGGAGGAGGGCTAGGGCTTGCGGGGACAGTCTCAGCAACGCTGCTGACATAGCTTTCGAGTTATATACCTTACCGTAAGGGCAACGGAGCAACGATCACGTTTCCAGAGTTTCTGGTCTAAGGGGTCGCACAGCATTGATCAACTGAGCTTGATCTCGGCGATAGCAACGGACTGTTTTCCTTATAAGCCCCCGCATCTTCGGTTTATTCCCCTTCATCAATAGGCTGGCCTGTTTCGTACCCCCTGCATAACCTTGTCACCAATACTCTTTCACGAGCTCTAACGACCTCACACGACTAGCAACCAAATCACCAACCTCTGATCCCAATTCTCGAGTGCACATAAATCCCTCACGCCAACGCACACTCAAATCCACTTTTTAACACTAGAACAATGTTTTCACGCACCTACTACCCCAGCGCCGCCGGCAGCGTTATCGTGCCCAACAGTGCTGCCAGTGTCATTATGCCCACCGCCGGCTACCCTGGCTCTGCATACGGATACGGAGGCGGCTACGCCGCGCCCATGTCGGCTCCAGTCATGATGTCATCCTTCCACCACCACCACAGGCCCGCGCCTGTTGTCGTTCCGACGACCGCCCACTACGGCGGATATGGATACCCTTCACCCATGCCGTACTACGGCGCAGCTGCGCCCACCGTCATCATGTCGAGCAGTTCGAGCGGCAAATGGAGGCGTAGCCGCCGTCACCACCGCTCGAGGTTTTTCGACTTCTAGATGACCTAGACGGATAGATCTAGCGCTGCACAAGTAATCTTCGGGGTTGTTCGCATGTTATTAGAGAGGAAGAGGAGGATTAGCATTTGAGGAAGGGAGAGAGCGGAACTTGGAGGCTGGTCAGGGGAAGAGGGGAGAGTTCGTGTAAGATATTTGTACAGTATGATATGGGGAGACAGCCGTGTCTTTTGCCCTTCTGTGAATGAGACGATTGATAACGGACACCTGCACCCTTGAAATTCGTTTTCTTCGAAGATCTTGCATTATTCTGGGAGTGATAACTGCTAAGTACTGGTTCTCTTGTGCCGTCAAATATGGACTCCCCAGTTCTGTATTTGAGTTCAAGGCGTAGCCCGATGAGGCTAGTATTTGGAGAATGGTCCTTGCTGCCGCTGAGCACGTACAGATAGTCGATTAATCTTCGAGCACCGTGACGAAGCCAAGGTAATTAATTACATTATTGCTTCACCTTCAATATCTTTGCTAGTATATCGGTTAGTACACGCGCCTGTCATCATAGATGAGCGCGCGAAAGCTGGGTTCGACTCCCAGGCAGAGAGTTCCTTATTTTTCATTCATTTATTGCTCCCGTTTTCGCGG